CATCGCAAACATATTAAATTCACCTGAGTACACAACACCAACACAGAAAAAATTCATATTACTAGAACACATTGCCACCGTGGCCGGGCATATTTTTCAAGCTCGCCCGGTGTCGATATGCGCTCAGAGTAACATCGCATACATATTATTCACCTGAGTACACAACACCAACACAGAAAAATTCATATTACTAGAACACATTGGTATTGAAGGAACTAGATAGTGTTCCGAAATATCACTTACTTGAACCGTCCTGACCGCGTAGCTCAGTTGGAAGAGCATTGGGCTAGTATTCGAAAGGTTGTAGGTTCGAATCCCACCGTGGCCGGGCATATTTTTCAAGCTCGCCCGGTGTGGATATCCAATCAGAGTAACATCGGAAACATATTATTCACCTGAGTACACAACACCAACACAGAAAAATTCATATTACTACAACACATTGGTATTGAAGGAACTAGGTAGTGTTCCGAAATATCACTTACTCGAACCGTCCTGACCGCGTAGCTCAGTTGGAAGAGCATTGGGCTAGTATTCCGAAGGTCGTAGGTTCGAATCCCACCGTGGCCGGGCATATTTTTCAAGCTCGCCCGGTGTGGATATGCACTCAGAGTAACATCGCAAACATATTATTCACCTGAGTACACAACACCAACGCAGAAAAAAATTCATATTACAAGAACACATTGGTATTGAAGGAACTAGATACTGTTCTGAAATATCACTTACTCGAACCGTCCTGACCGCGTAGCTCAGTTGGAAGAGCATTGGGCTAGTATTCCAAAGGTCGTAGGTTCGAATCCCACCGTGGCCGGGCATATTTTTCAAGCTCGCCCGGTGTGGATATGCACTCAGAGTAACATCGCATACATATTATTCACCTGAGTACACAACAGCAACACAGAAAAATTCATATTACTAGAGCACATTGGTATTGAAGGAACTAGATACTGTTCCGAAATATCACTTACTCGAACGGTCCTGACCGCGTAGCTCAGTTGGAAGAGCATTGGGCTAGTATTCCAAAGGTTGTAGGTTCGAATCCCACCGTGGCCGGGCATATTTTTCAAGCTCGCCCGGTGTGGATATGCACTCAGAGTAACATCGCAAACATATTATTCACCCGAGTACACAACACCAACACAGAAAAATTCATATTACTAGAGCACATTGGTATTGAAGGAACTAGATACTGTTCCGAAATATCACTTACTCGAACGGTCCTGACCGCGTAGCTCAGCTGGAAGAGCATTGGGCTAGTATTCCAAAGGTCGTAGGTTCGAATCCCACTGTGGCCGGGCATATTTTTCAAGCTCTCCCGGTGTGGATATGCAATCAGAGTAACATCGCAAACATATTATTCACGTGAGTACACAACACCAACATAGAAAAATTCATATTACTATAACACATTGGTATTCAAGGAAGTATATACTGTTCCGAAATATCACTTACTCGAACGGTCCTGACCTCGTAGCTCAGTTGGAAGAGCATTGGGCTAGTATTCGAAAGGCCGTAGGTTCGAATCCCACCGTGGCCGGGCATATTTTTCAAGCTCGCCCGGTGTGGATATGCACTCAGAGTAACATCGCAAACATATTATTCACCTGAGTACACAACACCAACACAGAAAATTCATATTACTAGAACACATTGGTATTGAAGGAACTAGATACTGTTCCGAAATATCACTTACTCGAACCCTCCTGACTGCGTAGCTCAGTTGGAAGAGCATTGGGCTAGTATTCCAAAGGTCGTAGGTTCGAATCCCACCGTGGCCGGGCATATTTTTCAAGCTCGCCCGGTGTGGATATGCACTCAGAGTAACACCACAAATATCATATTCACCTGAGTACACTACACCAACACAGAAAAAAATCATATTACTAGAAAAAACATTGGTATTGAAGGAACTAGATTCTGTTCCGAAATATCGCATACTCGAACCGTCCTGACCGCGTAGCTCAGTTGGAAGAGCATTGGGCTAGTATCCAAAGGTCGTAGATTCGAATCCCACCGTGGCCGGGCATATTTTTCAAGCTCGCCCGGTGTGGATATACACTCAGAGTAACACCACAAATATCATATTCACCTGAGTACACTACACCAACCAGAGGCGGATCTAGGGGTCGTCAAACCAGTCACGCGACTAACGTAAAAATTGCAAACTTAATTAAAGTCTTAAATATTCGACCAATAGTCCAGTTATTTTTTATCATGCAGCGACACCATATAATAGTCCAGTATCTATTATCATCCAGCGCTAGCAATTAACATTCCAATCGAACTTGTAGTCCAGTGATCAAATTTCATACAGTGGCTGAGCCGACGAGCTTAGTCAAGTCAATGAGCAGCTGACATACGCAAAGCCGGTCAGTCAAAAAGTCAAAATCCAGTGTTCTGATTGGTCTAGACGCTTATCGCCATGGAAACAAGCGATTTTTTGCGATTTTGACTGATCTGTGGGGAGTTCTGACCGATTTACAAAAGTCAGGGGCACCCCATTAGTCGGAATATCATTAATATTTGACGCATCAGCTAAAGTCTTTCCGAGCGCGCGCTCATTTGAAGTGTCATGTTGGAGCTCTACGGAAAATTCGGAAATGTCTGCTGCTCCAGTCCTTGTAGTATTCGCGAATTGGTTCAATCCGCATTTGCGGTGAATGATTTAGCTGTCTTACAAGACTGTTGCGCTGATCTTGGCAGGAAAATCGACGCTAAATATCGGAGAGTTCGACTCAGTGAGCATTTGGTAGGTGCCATGAGTAGCACAAACTACAGTTTGACTGTTTGAGTACAAGTATTGGCGCCGAGATCTTTATTCTGAAGTGCAATAAGGTAAATTTAATGTGATATGTAAATCTTATTTCGTTTTAGACAGCATAACAATATTTATAAGCGAACAAGATGCGCGCCATACATATGTTAAATTGTAACTTGAATACGCGTATCTTGATTTAGATTTAGCTATGAGTTTTGATTTACACAACAAATTTGCATATTTGTAATTCTGCGCTTGAAGGACCGTCAGAACTCAGAAGGCTTTTAATATGGAGGATAACCTATATAAATGCATTAATGCAGTATACATAGGATATATAGGGTCAGGTTTTATACATGAATGTTAAGACTTTAATATTGCGGATATATGTTTGTTTGAGTAATATGACACTGTAGTGATTACTAGTCAAGTGATCAATGACTCAACAAGGCTATTAGGCAACAAAAATGAGTGTAGTACTATCATGAGATAGTTAAACATAATACTAGCAATCCGTAATATGATGAAATGAAACATCTTCCACAATTATCACCTTTTTGCAAGTACTTCTCCTTCACTTTTCTCTAAGGAGCGAGTTGTGAGAGTCAGTCAGACTGATAGTTGCTATAATTATCTCCCATTTCATGAAGTTAATTTTTTGTTGAAGCTGCTTTCAGAGTGATGCAAATTGCGTTTCTGAGGTTTAAAAATATAAAATTTCCTGGGGGACAGACCCCCCCTGGTGCCTCGCGCATTCGCGGCTAGCAAAACTACATTGTACGTCCGAAAACTTTGACTAACGTACGAAAAATCCTGGATCCGCCCCTGACACCAACACAGAAAAAATCCATATACTATGCTTATTTAAAAATTATAAAATATTTACAAATGGATTATATATAATTATACTTCAAGAGATTAAGATTAGTAGATTGTTTCAGTTCAATAGGTAATGAGTTCCATTCCGATACCAAGTGAATTGTTGTTTTCCCCAATTTGTACTGTACGTGGGCGTGGAAGGTAATAATTGTTATTCTGGCGTGTTTTATGCCTATGTATATGGGAGATCATGATAAGGTTAAAATCACAGGTCGACTAGGTGGTTAAGACATTTAAAGACAGAGATACAACGGTGGTATTTTCGACGTAGATAAAGGGATTTCACTCTAGAGTTTCAAGGGCTTCGGTAGCGTAGGAATGGCGAGGAAAATCAAGGATAAGTCTCGCAGAACTTGAAGAACTTGAAGGTGGTTCATTAGAGTGGAGTTGTTTTGTCTCCCCACACGTTATCACTGTAGTCCAACAAAGGGGGGACAAGGCTGATGTAGAGGGTGAGTCTGATTCTATCAAGTATAGAATCGTTAACCGTGATGTAGACATTGTCAAATTTGGCGACTTTGCGAGAAATTCCATAATTACAAATTTACACTTGGAGACATTAAGTGTCAGAAGATATTGCCGTGTTATACCATCTGCATAAGTGCTTTAGATCGGAGTTTAATTTCGTTTCAAGATCGCAAGCATTGTTACAAGAAGGCAAATCATTAACAAAAATAAGAAATGGTTGTGGACACGAAACACTGCCTTGAGGAACTCCGACAGGAACGTGTTTGAAGGAGGAAGCAGTGTTAGCCAAGGCGGTAAATTGATTTCTATTGGTTAGGTATGACTTGAACCAGTTGACAGAATCATTGGAGAGACCAGATGAGGCTGGCTTTTCAAATAAAAGAGAATGGTCGACAGTATCAAAGGCTTTAGCCAGGTCAAGAAAAACAGCTCCGGTTACTAAACCCTTGTCCATATTAGCCAAAATGATGTCCGTGAAATGTGCGAGCGCAATCTCAGTGGACATTTTAGGACTGAAACCAATTAGTATTTTATTGTCGATAAGGTAGCGGTAAACTTGAGAGTGAACTGCTTTCTCGAGAACTTCACTAATGGTTGGGAGTATCGTGATTGTTGTTCTGAGTGGTTATATTACTATACCTTAAAAAAACACAAGCAGAAACAGAGAAGCTTGACGTTTCAAGCGAAGGCCCTTCGTCAAGAGTTAGTGGCTGGGATCGGGGAAAATGCACGGGCTTTTATACTAAGAATATGAAAGCGTCACGTAACAAAAAATAAACCAATAAAATGGATTTAATCATAACAAAGTGTAAACAAAATATGTAAATCGCATTACAGGATATCATATATACAAAAATATAAAAATATACAGGAAGCTAAGACAATTCCTACAAATAGAGAATAATACGTGGGTGCGCGGAAATACCAGATTTATTTCGAGTGTTGAACATGATATACGAGTGAGCGCAGCGAACGAGTGAGATATCATGTTCAACACGAGAAATAAATCTGGTATTTCCAAGCACCCATGTATTTTTCTGTTTATTATATAAAGGACAGTCTTTGAAAAGCGATAATTTTTACAGAAAAGTGATAATTGAAAAGCGATAATTTTCACATGTGAGATTATCATGAATAATTTTACATGTGAGATTATCACTTTTAACACTGCTCGAAATCTCTATAAAGCACTATACTTTATATAATAAAGAATAATAATCAAAACAAAACACAAGTGGGAACAAGGTAGAAATAAAAGTAATAAATAGGTAAATGCTCTCTGTGTCTGCTATAGACAGGCAAGGAATTGGTCTGTAATTGGTAGCATTGGATTGGTCACCAGATTTAAAAAGCGCCGTTACTTTGCCAGACTTCCAGGTTGATGGAAATGTTGAGGAAGTAAGTGGACGATTGAAAAGTTTGGTTATGATGTTGGTATATGTGTCAAAGTGAACTTTGTTGGTATATGTGTCAAAGTGAACTCCCTTATCACATTGACCTTTGTTCTGCGTGTTCGTTGTTGACATATGAGATTGGTCAGATGATCTTTCATTCGGTTTACACGTGCCCAGGGAAACATTTGAACTTTGGATTATTGGATATCGCCTTTTGTGGCTGTCGACAAGCTTATCCTGTTACTATGAGATTATAACCAGATTTGAAGGTGACAAACGTGTTGTCTCATTAACTTGAATTTATATATTGTTATATATAAATTTGCTTTTATACAACTGGCCCCAGTTCGCATTTCTTAACATTTATATTGACGTAAGACTTCATCTTCTTGTACATCATCCAATGAAAGGGCGAATTTGACTTAAGAGGGTATGGGGTGGCACATGATGAAAAATTAAATGTTTTCTTATCTTGCCCAGTGATACACTAATGTATACCTAGAAACGAATATTAACAAATATAAAACATTTTCCGTGTTGACATACAGTTATATCAACACGAGTGGAATTGGGAAAACGAAAAATTGTATGGAAACACGACGCCCGAAGGACGGAATGTTTTCATACAATTTCGAGTTTTCCCAACTTCCACGAGTGTTGATATAACTATATATCAATACGGAAAAAACGTTTTATATTTTTTTTATAATATAGCAATGTCAAAAGCCCGAAGGATAAGAAAAAATTCCGTGTTTACAAGCGGCGGAAAATTTCCCGTGTTGACATTGAGTTATATCAACACGGCTCTTAGCCAATCAGCGTTCAGAATTTACAAATGCTATATTATAAACATGTTTATAAGATGTCTATGAACAACGACAGTCTATTTTGTAATCTTTTAAATAATGTTTCAAAGTCAAGGCAAGCGTGTACATTTTTTGTACATGCAAGTTTGGTACATTTTTTGAAAATTAATTTTCCCTTTCAGGTAGAACTCCGATTTCCTTCAAATTTAGACAATTGTAAGAGCAAAAGTTGCTCTCAAATCTGGTGTAAAAAATATTATGGGGTGTTTTGTTATCACGATATTATAATGTCTATAACTAGAAGTTACTATCGCAAGGAAAGTGCTGCCTCAACCCGTCTTCCATCACACAAGCACGTAAGGCACCCCTAAGACACCTCAGGAGGTAGGAAAAGTGCAATTTGAATACGAAAACACCTTGCACAAAGTCAAAGGTCAGCTAGATATTCTAATCATAAAGTTAAAAATTTGGGAACACATCTATTGGGGGGGGGGGGTGGTTGGCAAATGTAGGTCCCGGATATAAAATCATGCTCTCACCAATGGGAACACAAGTACACATGCAGGAATTTGCCCCCAATAGCAGGATTCCTTTTTTGCCTAATGTCAAGATTGCGATGCCTCCTCTAGTGTTATTTATAATCTCTATGATTCTATTAAATCCTATTGACTTCCCCAAATTCCTTATTCTTCAAGAAATTACTTCCTTGAAAATTCCTTCGTTTTAAAAAAGGAAGGATTTTGTGAAAGTCTACAGGTCATGCTATGCACATTTTTAATGAATCAGATTTGCATTCAGATAGATGTAGGTTTATTGGCATAGCATGACCAGTTGCCATGGCTAGCTTGCCACTGAATACTGTACAATATCATGTATAACAAACAATAATAATACTTGAATGAATCATTGGATATGTATAATTTATTTACAATTTCATACATAGAAATAGTACCAGTAAGGGCCTGTTCATATGGGCAAAAGTTATCTGTGTTAGCGAGAAAACTTTTAATAATAATTAATAATTACAATTTATATAGCGCAAATTAGCATTTGTATATGATCAACAAGTTTAAAAGCGAGATCTCACCTTGGTATGAAAATAATATGAAAAGTTACATTGCATTCATATGAGACAACAACTTTTTCCGTGTACCGAGATCTCACTTGTTGACAGGTGTGATCTCGGTGACCGGGATAATGGTTTTCCCATATGAACACAACTTTCCCGCTTAGCTGGATAACTTTCTGTCGTGTCAACAACTTTTCAATTCAATTCATGTTCAACGCTACGTCACAGCCGAAAACTTTACCCGATAAGCGAGGTAAGTTTTCCCATGTGAACAGAACAAAAGTATTTGGCTAGTCGAAAAGTTTTCTCCTTAAACCGGGATAACTTTTGCCCATATGAACAAGTATGAAGTCAGTTTTGTCCCAACTATCATTTTAATGGCACCTTCAAGGCTACCCCTACTGTAGAACAACTGAACAATGAATATCTGCCAATCGGGAGACAAAATCTATTTTGTTGACATTTTTGTTTAATACATCTGCTTCAGATGACCATTCATTTGTAATGACTATACAGTATATATAATAAGAAAGAAATTGTGAGCATTATTGTATTACAACTGTGTGTTCCAATGTTGGCATCATACTGCTCGATTAGTAGTCATCACCCAGGAAAATAAAACCATTGCAAATGGCCACTATCGAAATTTTCCCAGGTCATGAAGTTAAGACCAGCATTTCTCGCAGGCATCAAGCCTTGAGACATCATTATGCATAAGTTATTTGATATACAGTATAGCCCCACCAGTAGGTTAAGAACCACTATAGCCTGAAATTTTGGCAATTAAGCACCCAGAGGCGCCGGAGAATCGATAATAGCGGGGGCAGATATTCATATATTCGTGTTCACAGACTGTAAAAACAATCGATTTCAAAAGAAATTAATTGGGC